CCACTCCATCACCCCCTCCCCAACCCCCCTCCATCACCTCCTCCCCACCTCCCCACTCCGCCATCCACAGGGGCATCCCTCCTGGCCTTCTGGGTTGCCCAGGATGGAGGGCTACCTTCTTGGAGAAGTCGCCCAACACAATGGCATGGGACAGGGTAGGAGGAAATTCTGTATTGACTGAGACGAAGACTTACTCTAACAGAGAAGCGTTGGGAGCAGCTGGTAGAGTTCCCTGCATCAAATCATGGTCCTGACAAGACCATCATTTAGCCTGAAAGAGCCTCACACCAATAGTTTCTAAAAACAACCAATAATTTGGGGTTTATCAGAATAACGTGATGAATCCTTTGCATATCAACCTTAACCTGGTAGGCAGGTTCCCAATATACATGACCACATATAGAAAATAAAAGTGAATGTTTTGTTTTGTCTTCTATATGTATTGGTATGACCTTTCCGATTGCTAGATACTTTGACTGTCATCCCTACCTCCAGCCCACCTGAGCCACCCAGTTCATGGTCTCATCCTTGACCGTAACATGACCAATAGCCTCGCCTCCTCAGTGATCTCAGTCCCTGGCACCCACTTTCCGACTCCCATGCCCCAGGCTTCCAACTCACTCCCAGGAGCCCCTGGCTCGGACAGTTCTTTGACCCCACCCCCACTCTAGGCTTCCAATGCATTGACCCCATCACCTCTTCACTGCCTCCTTCGCCGGCTTAGAGTCTGACCCATCTTCATAATCACTGCCTCCCCCACCCCTGCTCTTGTATTCATCTCACAGACCCCCGCCCTGGTTAAAGGCAACCCTCCAGTCAGACTCAGCCACACCCTAAATGTAGCGGGAGAAAACCACAGAATCTCAAAGGGACCTTTGAGGCCCAGACACATGCTTCATGTCTCCGGCATGGTCCATTCTCTCTCCCACTCTCATGGAGAAAAATCTCACTCCTTTCCTCCGTTCTCAAATCCCCAACCCTGCCTCCCGTTCCTCGTGCTCAGATAATGATCCTGCTTCCCATTTCATCAAGACAATGGAAACGAGAAGCCTCACAGCCCCCGCTGTGTCTACTCATCCCCTGCACTTGCACCCACAGGGGTGCCTTCCCTCCTGCTGCTGTAGACACCCCACCATCCACCCTTACATTTGTGTCCTGGACTGCATCCCCTCTGCATTGCTCCCTCCTCTCTCTGGCTATCATGTCTTCCCTCTCTTCTAGAACATTCCCACCAGGATCACTCATGCCTTAACATCTCCCCCAACACAGAATGGACATCAGAGCAGCAGATAGCCCACCAGCACAGTAGGGGGGAGGGGCAGAGGGAGGTTGAGGGAAGGAGACAAGAAACGGTATGTTGGAGGCTCAGGCAGCCAGACCAGCATGTGCAAAGGTCCTGTGGCAGGAGGGAGCATGTGTAACAGAAGGCTGAGATGGCATGTGCAGAGAGAGCGAAGTGGGAAGGAAATAAGGCCAGACAGACGTCAGGGTCAAGCCTCGTTAAGATGCCCAGCTTTCCCTACAGCACTGGGAAGCGACTGAGCATTTCAAGCTAGAAGGGGCTTGATCAGATTTGCATTTTCTTTTTTTTTTAATGTTTTTTTATTTATTTCTAGGAGAGAGAGAGAGAGAGAGACAGCGTGAGCAGGGGAGGATCAGAGAGAGAGGGAGTCACAGACTGAAACAGGCTCCAGGCTCTGAGCTGGCAGTCAGCACAGAGCCCGACGCGGGGCTCGAACCCACGAACCATGAGATCATGACCTAAGCGAAAGTCAGACGCTTAACCGACTAAGCCACCCAGGCGCCCCAGATCTGCATTTTCAAAGGGTCACTATGATTACTCTGTAGACAAGGATAAGAGTGTGTGCAAAATGAGCAGTGGGGAGGCGGTCACACAGAGGAGCCTGGTGGTGGGTGTTGTGGCCAACAGAGAGAACTTGACCGTTTTGAGAGGTTCTGAGGGCGGTGGCAGACAGGACGTCCTGAGGGATGGGACCTGCAGGCAGGAAGAAGAAAGTGGTAGGCAGTGACAATCGGGCTCAGGCTTGTGCAGGCAGCGATGGAGAGGCATTCACTGAGCGGGTTGACACCTGCAGAGGACCAGACTTGAGGGGAAATGATCATGAGTTCAGGTCTGGACCTTCTGAATACACGGTGCCTTTAAAACATCCGCCAGGAGGGGCGCCTGGGTGGCTTAGTCGGTTAAGTGTCTGACTTTCACTTAGGTCATGATCTCGCGGTTCGTGGGTTCGAGCCCCGCGTCGGTCTCTGTGCTGACTGCCAGCTCAGAGCCTGGAGCCTATTTCAGAGTCTGTATCTCCCTCTCTCTCTGGCCCTCCCCTGCTCACGCTGTCTCTCTCTCTCCTAGAAATAAAAATTAAAAAAAAGAAATAAATAAAAATATTTAAAACATCCACCAGGAGGCATCAGACCGGCAGGTGGTTACCAGGTCTGGCCCTCACAGGAGAATCCGGGCTGCTGGTGACTTCACACGGTCCCTAGACAGCATCTCTTGAGCCATTCCTGCGTGCTAGGAGCCCACGGTCTAAAGATGACTGGGGCTCAGCTCATGCAGAGAAACAGCCAGGCTGCAAGGGGAGGAGGTATGGGTGCGGGCCGCCTGCAGGAAGCGTGGGGCCCTTAGAAGAGAGGCGTGGAGGCACCACCCACAAGCCCTAGTCTGGGGTTGAGCGCTGTCCCCACTTTGGTTTTTTTTAATGTTTATTTAGTCTTGAGAGAGAGAATGTGTGTGTGTGTGTGTGTGTGTGCACGCGCGTGCGCGCGCGTGTGTGTGTGTGTGTGTGTGTGAAAGATAGGGAGAGAGAGAGAGAGAAGAGGGGCAGAGAGAGAGGGAGACAAAGAATCCGAAGCAGGATCCAGGCTCTGAGCTGTCAGGACAGAGACTGACACAGGGCTTGAACTCATGAACTGCAAGATCATGACCTGAGCCAAAGTCGGACGCTTAACCCACTGAGCCACTCAGGCGCCCCATGTCCCCAATTTGTCAGGGGCCTCAGGGCCCACCAGTGCTGCGCTCTGCACCTCACCTCCTGCATGGATTCCTTAAAAAGATGCCCAGCCCCAGACTGGCACTGATGAAATATTTGTCAGATCAAACTGAGAGAAAATGAAAGCACTCTGCAAAGCACTTTGCAAATATACTGATTTGTAATTTTAACAATAGGGAGGATATCCTATCCCCTTAGCAGCTGGGAAGAGTCCTGGGTCCTAGGGGGAGTTGAAGCCTCCTGTGGATGCCTGAGGGCGGGGTGGGGAGGTGAGCAAGAAGGGGCCTGCTCCAGAGGAGCATTTCAAATGAAACGCTGGGCGCCTGAGTCCCCCCAGAGCTTCAGTGCAGTTACGGGAAGTCCCCATATGCTCTGGGGAATCGTTTTTCTTGCAGAAGTCAGGAAAGAGGGTGAATATGGTACAGAGACAGTGAATGAGGGGACCAACCATCTTCTCTGCAATATGTCACATAAACTAATAGCCTTGGAAATGCCTGAAACGCTTACCTTTACATAAGTACACCTGTATCGTATAGAAGCAGGTGTATATGATGTATACAGGTCTATGTAAGAATGCCCTAAAATTCCTAAACAATATCCATAGTACATGATAAAACCTACTTTATGGGATATGAAGGTTCAGCACCCCAAGGAAAATAAATTGCTAACACGTACTGAGAATTGTATTAATGAGGTTATATTAGCTACTGTCACAGAAAAATCCCAAATGTCAGTGGCTGAATATAGTCAGCCTCCAACTCTCCCTCACAGCGAGGCCCCCAAGCACTTTCCACCGACACTCGCTGCGAGCACTTTATTTGTGTCAGCTCGTTTAATCCCACGATGATCCGCGAAGGAAGGACTCCTCTGATCTCCACCTTTCAGGTGAGGAGACGGGCATCTCAGCGATGCCGAGCTGGACCTGGGCCACAGGAGCTGCCAGCACGGGTCTTCCTATTTATTCATTCGGAGAAAGCCCCGCCGACACTGGCTGTAGCTGTGCTGGTGCGGGGGGTACGGCCGGGTGTGAAACTGACTGAGGTTTCGGCTGTGGCGGAGCAGACCTGTTTGCAAGCTCTAGCCCACGCATCGGTCCTTCACGAAGACCGCACTCACTTCGTGGCCGTTGGCAGGAGCCGGCTGGGGCCTTGGGCTTTCACCTGAGCCTGTGTTCACCTTCTCAGCCATCAGCCAGGAAAGACTGAGAATCAAAAGGCCTTCGTTTGAGCCCTGGATCCATCGTTTCCTGGCCAAGAGTACTTACTCGGATCATTTAGCCTCCGTGAGCCTCAGTTTCATCTGTACAATGGAAGAGATAATATGCCTCTCACAGGCCTGCGGTAGAGCCCAAATGAGTTGTAGTTCAGGAGCCTGGCAGAGGTGCTCAGCCCCCATTGGGGGCTTGAACCTCCCCATCTTCCCCCCCCCCATCATCCTCCCCCCTCCCCTGCCCTCCAGACCATTTCAGAGCAGCTGGGGGCTAGGCACCGTGAATTCCAGGCACCGCAGATGGGAAGGCGCTTTGCAAGCTCATTTAAGGACCCCGGGAACGTCTGTCGGCATCAGTGTGGGGTCTGTCTTCTTTGCAAAGCAATCTGATCTCTGGCATGCAAAATGCGAGGTGACCCCCAGCTGAGCTGGGGCACAGAGGCCAGTGTACCGACAGGCTCATCAGCCTCCTCGGCACAGTCCCCAGCCCCGGGCCAAACCTCTGCCAGCTGCCAAGCTCCAGCTAATCCTCAGAAGCCTCGATGCAGGGACGGAAGACTGGGTTTTGAAGTCTTAGGCCTTAGATCCTCTCCGCTGCACCGCGGGTGCGTGTGTTTTGATTCACCAGGCAGATGTCCAAACAGACAAAGTGATAGCTTCCTTCGGGGCTGGGGAGAGGGCTGAGCCAGCTTCAGAAGAGCAAGAAGTCAGCAAGAGGCCGATGGGTGCTGAGCCCCTGGAGACTCTGATGTTTCACATGTCCTTTCTCCTCTTGTTTTCCAGGGAACTTCAAAGGTCTCTGCAAGCAAATCGATCACTTCCCAGAGGATGCAGATTACGAAGCTGACACAGCAGAATATTTCCTCCGTGAGTGCATGCAATTTTTTCTCCCTCCTGGTGGGGGGGGGGGGGCAGTCCTTGTAACCTGCAGAGCACCAAAGGCTAGGATCCAAAGATCCCTGTATCAGCAGAGTGCAGGAAAAAGCTGAGCCTCTCTCCTTTCCTCCTATCCAGAGACCAGACCTTGATGCATGCTGTTCCCTCTGCCTGTCACACTCTTCCCTCCCCTTTGTCTGATAAACTCCAGGTCCCAGCCTGAAACATCACCTCCTCCAGGAAGTCCTCCATGCCCCTTATCGTGCTGTGTGGTCCTTGTCTGAGTAAACATCTCCTTGGCAGTCCCACCAACTCAGTTAGGCCAGGGACCCACCCTATCTCATTCACATGTTCCTATTCCCAGCCCAGGGCCCTGCACTTAATAAGAGCTTAGTAAATATTTCTTCACTGACTCAATGAAGAGACTCGTCAGGCAGTGTCAGATTGGAATCTCGACAGAGAACAATACATTAGAGCTTTTTCCTCCCCCGCCCCCCCACAATCAAGTCAAAGTTAAATCCTGAGGTAACAGCTGCAACCTTAAATCCACCTGAGGCATAGTATCAAGAGAACGCATTTTGAGTTCCAAAGAAAATTTCTCAAGAGTCATCAAAAACTAACGAGGTGAAATGCTCCCTGAGAAAGAGATTTCCAGGAGAGGGACTGAGAGTCCTTAACACCTGGGACAGCAAAGCCACCCAAACAGAAGTGGGTGAAAGCTGTGCTCCAGGCTCTTAAGAGGCTTTTCCAGAAGAGGTTTGCGCTCCAGCAGGAGCGTCCCCACCTTCTGTCCCGGGTGACCTTTCCAGCTGCTCCGAGGCCCCTAAAGCCTGCCTCCCATCCCCCACAGCAGAATGGCTAGTGTCACTCTCTGATCACTTTTATGGAAAAGGTAGGAGGCATTTCATTACATGGATCACCCTGTCTCCTTCCATCACTACTCTTCACATCAAAGCCAACTCTCGGGTCAGCCTGAAAACAACCTGGTTTCATTGAAAAGCCCAGGGAACATGAAGTCAGCCCGGTGGCGAGGAGGAGAAAGGAAGGGAACACGATGTCATTTATAGATTTCTTTTTAAAGGGAGAAAAATATCTTACAGTGCTCATCATTTCCGTTTACGAATTCCTGAGAGACACTGCTCTTAAATGGAATTCCTGAAAGACGGGTTGGGTTCTTGTTCCCCGTTACCACGGCCGGGGCTCTTGTGGGAGCAGAGCAATGGCACAAAGGTAGGCTGACACCGTGTGCTGGAGCTTGCGCTCCGCACTGGGGAGATCACAGCGAAAGAGTGGATGCAGCCCGTGGCCCCAGGCAGAGCCCAGCCTGGCGGGGAGGACCCTCAGAGAAACCTCTGGCGTCAGGAGACTTGGGACAAATGTGTCCTCCTAGTGGTGGGGGAGGGGGAGGAGGGGGGGAGGGAACCACAGCCTGAGCCTGGTGCCAGGAGCCACACTGGTTGAGAATAGTAAGGATGTAATAATCAGCTAGACACCAAGGGCTCAAAGTAGGAACTTTGTTTCCTTCCTTGCTGTGCCTAGAACAGATTCTGGAATAGACACTCCATTCATGTTGTCTGTTATCTAAAGGACAGATATAGGAGACTTCGGTGGCTGTTTCTACCTACTCCATACCTCCATATCCTCATTGTTTATAAGAGAGAATTACTTAGGGTGTTTGCTTCATTCGGGTGTCCCCGGACAGAAGCCTTGGACTGGTTAACTGCTGTTAACAGGGCAGGATTCTAAGGGTCTCATTTAAGCTTACTTAACCCAATGGTATTTTTTGAGTATTGTAACAAGAATCGGCAAACGTTTTCTATAAAGGGTCAGACAGTAAATACATTAGGCTTTCTGGACCATACAGCCTCTGTTCCCACTACTCACTGCTGCCCACGGACTACAGACATAATGGAAGCCAGTGAGTGTGGCTGTGCTCCCAGCAAACTTAACTTTATTTATGAAAACAGGCAGCAGGCTGCATTTGGCACAGTTTGCTGATCCCTGATCTAGAATATGCTAATCTTGGGCTAGGCAACAAAAGTAATTTTTGAAAGCCGGCAGATGTGAGTTCCTATCATTCTCTAACAGATTCTAAATCCTAACAGATTCTAACTAGATGGTCTCATTCTTTACAAGCTCTTACCTGATTGGCTAAAGAAGCTAGGAGACAGGGATCCTTCTTCCATTTGGATCTCCAGCCCCACTGAAGTGGGCGGAGCCGGGGCCCAGGGGAGGTGGGTGGGGCTGTGTCTGGAGGTGGGCGGGGCTTCAGCCCGATGGGCGGCGCTTGAGCCAGCTTCCAATTTCGGTCGGTTACACCCATTCTCCTAGCGCACTTGCAACGTGGGAGGCCACGGGGGGGGGGGGGGGAGGACTCGGTGTCTAGAAACAGGCCGATGAAGGTAGCATGTATGCCATGATGCAGGCAGGGATAGAACGGAGTGTGTGGTGCTGAGGGAGCTTGGCCCCTAACCCCAAAACCGGAGATCATTCCAGAAGGGTCCCCTCGAGAAAGCGGCACCAAAGCTGAGAATAGGCCTCTAGAAGCATTCACTCATTTACTCCTGAGACCTTCACTAAGCACTCACTCCGTGCAGGGCCCCGTTGTCAGTACAGGGGACCCAAGGGTGAACAAAACTGGTGCCTCTGTGAAGGGGACATTTCTCACAGAGGAAACATGCAATGAGCAGGACCACACATAATCCCCTAAGAGAGTTCCAGAGCTTGCTGTGAGAGGATGGAGGGGGGAGGGGGCGTGAGGGCGTGGGCAGAGGGCAGGTGGGGGGTGTTACTTAGAAGAGGTAGTCAGGATAGCTTCTCTAAATGAAGAAGAGAAAGGAGGTAAGAAGATTTGGGGGAAGCTCGTGCCTGAGGGGGACCAGTGAGAGCACAGGCCTTATTAAGGCAGGGTGGGGGCAGGGTGTTTGGGGGCCAGAGTGGAGGCCTGGCTGGCCAAGCACAGTGCAAGAATGGAGGGCATCCCACAGCATGAGATCTGAGAGGTAGTGAGGAGCCCAATCATGTTGGGAAGAAATCGGATCTCATTCTAAGGGTGGATGGGAACCGTGAGCAGGTGACACTGATTTGGAAGGTCAATTCTGGCTGGGGGGGTGGGGGCGGAGGGGAGGGGGGCGGGTGGAACCTAATGTAATAAATCTAGACAAGAAACAGTGTTCTGAACCAAGGCAGTAGCAGTGAAGGAGGTGGGAAGGGGCCAGAGCCTGAAAATATTCCCAAGGGATTACATATAGGATTTCCTGAAAGGCTGCCTGTGGATTTCACAGGAAAGGAAGGCGTCAAGGTTTGAGTCCAAGGCTGGGATTGGGAAGAATTGGAAACTCCGTGTCAGCCACATTAAGTCAGAGAAACCTATGGGACTCCTTGGGGAGATGCCTTGGAGTCTGGGACCCATGGGATAGGTCCTGGCCCAGACAGGAGTTTGCCAAGTTGTTGGCAGGTGGATGATATTTACAGCCACAACACTTGATGAATGGCCCAGGGCAGTGGTGCAGAGAGGAGGTGCAGAGTCTGAGTCCCAGGACCAAGATTTAGAGGCCAGGAAGATGAGAAGGCCCCAGGGAAGGGGGCTGAGGAGGGTGGCAAGTAGGTGGCCCGGGTCACCCCTACCATCCTTGCTCCACCAGCTGGACGGAGGATCTAGAGCAGAGGAAGAGGAGAAGAGAGCATGGCAGAAGGCGTGGGCAGGAATGCAGAGCCCATCTCCTGGGGTGGCCAGAAAGTGGGGCTCACTTGTCTCAAGCCATCAGGCCAAGCTTCAGGCCTCCTGGGGAGCCCGACAGAAGGAAGGCACCCCATCAATATCTGATGGGACAAATAAATGAGTGAATGAATGTATGCCCTTCCCCCCAAGCTCCATGGATATTTAAGGAGTTACAAAGCTTCTCCTGAACAGAGGGTCCAGGGACTTTCTAGTGACAGGCCCTGGTCACCACCCTGGGCCTCCTGACATCTGGGCCCCACAAAGGGGTGGCTAGTGTGTCCCTAGCTCACCCATCTGTCACTAGCTTACCCAGGAACAAATGATGACCAGACCTGGTTTTCCCAGCCAGCTCTGGGGGGCCATCAATGTGTCTGCCACGGTGCCCCCCACCCATCCTATCCTTCCTTACCCAAAGCTTGAAAGCGGGTGACAAACAGAGGCAGCGGTGACCCAGGTGTGACTTCCTGTGATTGTCGGTGTGCATCTGTGCGTCGTTCTTTGTGCACAAGGGTGGGAGTCTGTGCTGCGTTCCGTGCCCTTCGGTGCCTGTGTGTCCATGCATCTGAGTGTCTGTCTGAATGTGTGTCTGCAAGTCCCTGCAGGCTGTGTGCATGAGAGTGTGAGAGAGAGAGAGAGAGAGAGAGAGAGTGTGTGTGTGTGTGTGTGTGTGTGTGTGTGTGTGTGTTGTATGTTATGTCCAGGAGATGGGAGCTGTATTTCCCATTGGTCACACTGCAATTTGGGCACATCCTAAGCCATTACCCCTACTCACTCACCTCTACGCAACCAGAGCACATGTTTCTCTGACCTCGCGCACTCCACGCATGCCGACGCTTTCAATTCTGTCACGGTTGTTTCTCTATGTGCTGGTGGCAACCAGCACGCTGACTGGCCCCCTCCCCACTCCCCACCCCAGTCCTGACTTGCAACCTGCACTGTATTCAACACCAATCCGGGCCCCACAAGAAGCAGCAACGGTCCTCCTGCTAAGATGAGAACTAACGTCTCCTGGAGCTTGGCACATACCAGGCGCTATTCTCCTCATCGCAGGCTATGAGCTCGGTGTGCTCATGACCTCCCTGTCGCAGGGGGGACGACTGAGGCTCAGGAGGGCAGGCAGCAGAGCCAGCGGAGGCACGCAGGCTACCTCCCTCCTGTGTTGGTGCTGCTGATCACCAGCCCCGGAGACAACCGGGAACGGGACAGCATCTGGCGCCTGCGCGGATGGGGATGGCACCCACCAAGGAAGCCCCGGGGCTTCCGGAACTCT